AAATATATAACTATTGACAATACAAACACACACACACACACACACACACATATATAACTTTACTGACAATACAAACACACACACATACAAATATATAACTTTACTGACAATGTAAACACATACATACAAATATATAACTATTGACAATACAAACACACACACACACACACACACACATACAAATATACAACTATTGACAATATAAACACTCACATACAATATATAACTTTACTGACAATACCAACACACACATATATAACTTTACTGCCAATACAAACACACACATACAAATATATAACTTTACTGACAATATAAACACATACATACAAATATATAACTTAACTGACAATAAAAACACACGCATACAAATATATAACTTTACTGACAATACAAACACACGCATACAAATATATAACTTTACTGACAATACAAACCCACACATACAAATATATAACTTTACTGACAATACAAACCCACACATACAAATATATAACTTTACTGACAATACCAACACACACATATATAACTTTACTGACAATACAAACACATGCATACAAATATATAACTTTACTGACAATACAAACACACACATACAAATATATAACTTTACTGACAATACAAACACACACATACAAATATATAACTTTACTGAGCATGGAGAACTGAAAGCTCCATACAACAAAATAAAGAGGAGAAGGTTGGGCCCAACTGAGATGGGTGTTGAAAAAAAACATCCAAATGGCCAAGATATTCGGTAGGTTGAAGGAATGACTTCTCCAATTTTATTAACCAGCCTACTCGAGCCACCTCCAAGAGCAGCTGATGAGTGTGACAGGTGAACTTGTGGTCGGAATGAGCTAACAGTAGCCAGTCATTTATATAATGATGAAAGTGCAACCAGAGAGTACATAGGTGATGAGCGAATGCTCTGACCACCCAACAACAAACATAGGGGGTGAAGCAAGCCCAAAAAGCAGTGCACAAAATTGAAAAACAAACCAATGTTATGGTCATGACTGACAAGATATCTGGATATACAAGTAAGCATTCATGACGTCCACCTTGGTCATCCACAAGCCTGGAGAAAAAGCCAACCTAAGGGTGAGAAACGGTTCCATGGTAAAATGGGGGTAGACTACAAAATTGGTTGAGGTGGGTCAAATCTATTACAGGCTGCTAGTCTCTGGTTTTATTGGGGACAACAAACAGCCTGGAGAAAGATGATGAACAGATTCGATGGACTATTGATATAAGAGGTCTTGTACCACCTCTAACAGACGTTGACAGGTGATAGGATCCTGAGGCATAGGGAAAGAAACAGGTAACTGAGAAAAAGGAGGGGGAAGAAATTGAAGGACAAGTCCCTCGGATGAAACCTGAATAACCCACTGATCTGTGGCAAAAGATTGCCAAAGGGGAACAAATTTGCACAATCTAGCTCCCACTGAACTGGAACCCACATGGTAGTCACCGGTACTGTTGGCACTCTGCCCATCTACACTGAATAAAATGATGAGATGATGGGAAATGACTGGGACGGGAACAGGGATAGGGGGGTTTGTCGTGGTTTCGATTGCGACAAAAAAGCTACCAAAAAGGAAACGGAAGAGTGTTGAGGCACAGACTCCAAACGTGATTCCAAAGTTTCAGGTACATGGTCGAAAACATACCACCAAAGAAAAGGGGCATACATAAATCCCTTAGATAAGTGGACAGCAAACGAACTTGGGACAAGGCTGCATTATGACCCAGAAGATCATAACAACAGAGAAACCACATGTATAACACTAAAGCTGAAGATCTCGGTGTATCACCTCAGAAGGGAGATAGATGGTAAATAAATACAGTAGAAGCGAATTAAGGGTAAGACAAAGGCTTGAAAGCTGAGCATGGGTTAAATGCACAGGAAATCACCCCCCCCCCTATGTAAAATAAGCCCCAACTGCTGAGAGTCGAGAAATGGACAGTTAGCTTGATGGTACGCCAAAGCAAACTATTCCATGGCTCATAGAGGGCAAGGCATGAAGGCACCCTCAACCAATTGTGAAGCAACTTGCTCAGCATGAACCCTAATATCCAGAGAGAGTGGGAAACTAAATACAGATTCTGCAGGTTAGGCATAGGAAGACAAGGGAAAATCTGGTGGTGGAAAAAGGCTATCAAAATCTTCATCAGCCCGAACAGCTTCGGCTTGCTCAGGAGGAAGTGGGGCAAGTACAGGAGAAGGTGGTTGACCCCCATAACAATCAATCTCTCAGCAAATAATCACCGATATATACAACGACGGGTCACCCCCACCTGCAGCCTGTGAAAGAGTGCTTGTAGGAGGTATGATACCAAAATGGTAACATGAACCTCAGAATTCATTTCAGAAATATGAATCGAACAAAGGCTTTGATATACAAATCCAAATGTGAGAGAAAAAATAAAGACTGGAAAATTAAGTTAAACTAAAAGTCGTCTTCAATATAACGAAAAAAAATTTATGACGAAATCCCACTTTGGAATTGAAATTATTATACTTACGAGTGCAAAGCACACCAAAAGCAAAAAATATCTGAACATGAAAACTGCCAAACGAGAAGTAATAATTCAGTAGAATTGAATAGAGAGAGTTACATGCATAAACTCAGAGTTACAGAGTATGTTGCACTTTTATCGGTGGAGGGTTGTCGCATGATGATTAATTCCAATGGAGGAGAGAAAAAAGGCTTGTGGCATGCACAAAAATTTCTTTTGCTTATAGAGGGCAGCACTGAACAAGAATAGCTATTTATGTGAGAGGAGATAATGTACCATATCGGAACACAATACTACCTTTAACAAATGTTTTTACACACGTACCTTCTGTATTTCGGCAGCTGACAGTGAATAACTATACAACTGATTGGTATCAGTTGAGGCTACAAGGGTTTCTTCTGCTGGACTCATACAAAGACATAGTATCCTGGTTTTCTTACACTTTTCATCTATGATCTCCTCCCCAGTGGGTAACTATTGAATGAAAAGAAAACAAATTACAGTGTTTTGCATAAAGATCTAGCAATGACCGAAAAGTCTTAAATTAGATTTCCACTTATGAGTATGTGCTACAACACAGTCACTAATGTTATCAACTACTTAGACTTTCTTGTTGCTTGCTAGTAGAAAAAATCCTGTAACATAAAGAGAAGCTACACTCTAGTCTCCTTTGACACTGATAATTAAAAGATGGAGTATAAACTAAGATCCTCTTTCATCCATGTGGCTAGAGCATAGTAATTACCTTATTAAAACAACATCAGTTTTATGTTATAAATATACTTGTGACAGGTGTAGTCATTTGTGTGAATTATTACAAATTTAATGGTTGACTATGTTATATTCAAACAATTTTGGTACCTCTCGACATTATTACTGTCCATGTTGCCATGTACAGTCATATTCTATCTTGACAATAGCTCCGTGGTGTAGTTTCCATTTCAAAAGGCTCTGTCATAAGACTTTGTCCAAACCACAACCTATCCTCCCTACTTCTTTCCACAATCATACCATGTTTAGGAAGAAGACAAGTTCCCAGAGCCTGTTTGAACAGTTCAATCACACAGAAAACCATTGGCACTTGACTTTTACATCTTAATATTGTATACAATGAATACCCAATTTACACGGAAATATGTGATGGCTGAACAAGAGGTATGACTGGAAGTCTCTTTTTGGTGAACTCCATATACTGTTGGCCTCTTTTTTCCAGACTCTTCTTGATAATGGGATACACCTTTCTAGATGGTCCTGGTTTACCAAGTTCATCCATATTACTTTCTTTCAATGTCATCAAGTACAGAAAACATCTTGGAAATTCTGAATCTATGATATTAACACGTATTTATGATCTGAGTTTATGAATATTTTATGCTGTTACATACAGTTCACATATGTCATGTCGTTTTCTGATTTGTATATTCAAAATTATTTTCATATAACATATCTAACCCTCTCTATAGAGTACTTGTGACAGATCTACTTCAGATAACAATGTGTTGTATACACAAGTTATGATATATATAACAATGTACTATGTGAATGAGTTATTGTATATATGTGTGTATAGTGCTTGTGACACATTTCCTTCAGATAACCACAAATTGTGTAAATGAGTTATATATATATAGTGCTTGTGACATGTTTCCTTCAAATAACAACAGGTTGTGTAAATGAGTTATATGTATAGTGCTTGTGACATGTTTCCTTTAGATAACAACAGGTTGTGTAAATGAGTTATATGTACAAGCACTATAATATAACTCATTTACACAACCTGTTGTTATTTGAAGGAAACATGTCACAAGCACTATAACATGTTTCCTTCAAATAACAACAGGTTGTGTAAATGAGTTATATGTATAGTGCTTGTGACATGTTTCCTTTAGATAAGCACAGGTTGTGTAAATGAGTATAAACAGACCTAGTGATTGGCCTGCTTTAGATAATACATGTTATACAACAATATAAAGTCAAAATGAAAAGAGTAGAACTTAAGAAACTTTAGTGCTATGATGCATATTGAAGAACAGTCACTTCCACAATAACTATTACATACAGTATAAGCCTTATTGTGAATGTTTTTTTCTCCACTGTTAGGTTGGATCTTGGTACAGGTAGTTTGATGAAAGTACACATCATTGTAACAGTTACAGTAAAATTTAACTGTAACTATAAGTAAACCCAATAGTGATTGGAATTACCTTCACGTTTCTTACGTGCCTATATCCAACATCTGTATTTTCTATTCTTTCATACATGACAACTTTCTCAGCTCCAAACGTACAAGTCAGCCCTTTAGATGTTGTTACAATACATGACACAGGCTGGGTGGTGGAGGAGGTTTTGCTTGTATTACTCCTCAGACTAACATGTGAACTGGAGGTTTCACTATAAGAAGCCAAAGTATATTTACATCACATAAAAATATTTTCATTAAATCAACAATCCTGAAACATCAGCAGTATAGCTAACATTAGAATCCACATGAAAACTGAATTGAAAGAAATAATAACGATGTGTTACTGATGTAAGTTAGTGAACTAAGTTTGTCATGCTATACACTGATGTAAGTTAGTTAAAAGTGAACTAAGTTTGTCATGCTATATACTGATGTAAGTTAGTTACAAGTGAACTAAGTTTGTCATGCTATACACTGATGTAAGTTAGTTACAAGTGAACTAAGTTTGTCATGCTATACACTGATGTAAGTTAGTTACAAGTGAACTAAGTTTGTCATGATATACACTGATGTAAGTTAGTTAAAAGTGAACTAAGTTTGTCATGCTATACACTGATGTAAGTTAATTACAAGTGAACTAAGTTTGTCATGCTATACACTGATGTAAGCTAGTTACAAGTTAACTAAGTTTGTCATGCTATACACTGATGTAAGTTAGTTACAAGTGAACTAAGTTTGTCATGCTATACACTGATGTAAGTTAGTTACAAGTGAACTAAGTTTGTCATGCTATACACTGATGTAAGTTAGTTACAAGTGAAATAAGTTTGTCATGCTATACACTGATGTAAGTTAGTTACAAGTGAACTAAGTTTGTCATGCTATACTACTTCAAATATTTTCATTTATAATCAGAATGGTCAGTAATCAATTGAGCTTTTCAGACACCCTTGGATAATATAAAATAAATCAAGAATCATTCTATAGCCCAGGTTTACTGCTAATGATTTATAAAATAAAATTCTACTTGAGACACAAACAACATACCTTTGTATATCACTTCCATCAGTATCGTTGACAAAAATCTCACCCTTTAATTCCCCAGCTTCAAAAATCACAACACGGCCATCTTGTGTCCCCACAGCAATTTTGTCATTATGAATCCAACTATGGCACAAAAACACATTTTGATGTTCATATTTCTGGTAAGCAAACTGTTTGAAAGCACCTTCTGTAAAGCGATAAAGACGGAAAACCCCTTTCCCAACAATACAGATTTGACTTGAGTCTTGAGGATGAAATGAAACCTGTAAATTGATTTAGATTTTGAAATAATTTGTAAAATATGAAAGAAATTTCACACTAGTAACTCTAATAAATCTTTGGCAAATTTCACTAAAATAAACATTATTAACTTATCAAGAAACTGGTAATGCACTGCTGTACATAACATAGACACCCCACATTATGTGTAGCTTTATCAGATGCCCTCTAAACAATTTTAAATGGATTATCAGATGCCCTCTAAACAATTTTAAATGGATTATCAGATGCCCTCTAAACAATCTTAAATGGTTTATCAGATGCCCTCTAAACAATCTTAAATGGTTTATCAGATGCTCT